AAGAAAACAATTCAAAAGACAGAGCAAAGATGTTCACTGCAGCATTCTGAGTGACACAGGAAAAATGTAAACACTGTAAATACCATTTGACACTCGGAGTGCCTATCTACCAGACGTTTTCCTCAATGCTCAACATAATCCTGAATATTGCAAATTATTTTCACTATTTTCATAAAGTAACCAAAGCTTAGAGAGGTTAAGGACCTTGCCTTCTGTCATTCTGTTAGTATAGGTTAGAGCTGGATTCAAATCTAGGACTAAAGGTCAGGCATGATGGCTCACCCCTATAAAGCTAGCTCTCTGGGAGGCTGAGGTGGGTGGATTGCTTGAGCTCAGGAGTTTGAGACCAGCCTGAGAAAGAGCTAGACTCTGTTTCTACTAAAAGCAGAAAAACTAGCCAGGCATAGCAGCACACACCTGTAGTCCTAGCTACTCAGGAGGCTGAGGCAAGAGGATTGCTTAATCCCAAGAGTTTGAGATTGCTGCGAGCTACGATGATGCCACAGCACTTGACCCAGGACTACAGAGTGAGACTGTCTCAAAATTACAAAAACAAAAAACAAATCCATTCTGAAGTTCCCAACCTTTTTAATTTCTGTCAGTGCTCATAGCTGTAAGAGTACAATGGTTACATAAACCGTAGCACACCCAATGCATTATATGGCTATGAAAGTTTTTATAACAAGTTTTTATAAGAATATAACAATGCTTATGTTAAATGAACATGCAAAATTATATACACAGTATACCAAAAACATTTACAGAAATGAACCAAAATGTTGGCAGTGGCTTTCTCTGGGAGTAAGACTATAAATAAAAAGGGAAGGGTAGGGATCACGCTAACCTGAAATTTCTGTCTTTGTATTTTAATGAGAAAAGATGGACTGAAGATGAGATACAGAAAAGTTTTGCCAATCTGTATACCAAGGCCAGTAGTTAGAATCCTTTAGAATCAGTTCTCTTAAGGCAGACATCCCTATGCAGTGAAAACACTTGGTCTTTTTGTTTGGTTTTCTATGCTCTCTCAGGTGAGCCTGTCCTAATAAGGAGCTCAAAATATCTTCCAGATTAGCAATACAGTGGAGACATAAACCTGAGTTAGAACAGAACACTTTATATTTGAAATAGCCTCTCCCTCACACACACACACAAAAAATCCCCACACTCTCTTCAATCGCTATGAAAGTACAACTCTAGCAAATCAAAGTACGGAGGTGGCTTAGAAGAGAATACACAGTGCATTAAAGACTAGACAGGCATGAAGAGGAAGGTGCTGAAACCCTAAGACCACGCGACAGTAGTGTTGAAGCTGAGTAAGTCTCAGGGTTTCCGTTTAGGGAAGGAACACGGACACCAACTACAGACACCAGATCTGCAAGTATATTTACTTGCAATTCTTGCACTATAGGATGGACAAGCAAAAGCTATTCAGAAATACCACCATTGGAAGGTTAATATTTAACATTTTCTGGCCTCTCATGTTTAGTTAGGGGTAGAGGCTAAAGTTCCGTAACAAAGAGCCCCACAAGAGGTACCTCAAGTAAGATCCAGGTACTGTTAACAGGCAGGCCACAGAGGAGGGGCAGCTCTTTTCCAAAGCCAGCCAGGTTTCTGTCTTATTGCTCTGCCATTCCCCAGGTATTATACGTTTCTGATGGGTAATTCCATGTCCATTTTCCAGACTGTGGGAAGAGGGAAGGGACAGGCAGGGATGAGGCCCAGGAGCTGTACATATCACTTTAATACCCCGCTGACCGGAAAGGTAGTCCTGAAGGAGGCGGCAATTAGCATGTCTCAGGCTCACCTCACCTTGATCAGACTTTAACAATTACTCACATTCTTAGCATTAATACAGAGGCCTAAAGGAATCAGCATCTGGAACTGAGACTAAGAAGAAAGGGACGGGTTTATGGTGATCTGGGCAGGAAAAAAAAAGCCAAATCAGGTCTCCAGGCAACTCTTCTGTTGCTCTGGTTACATGTGGCTTCCTCTCTTGAAAACTCTTCAGTAGCAATATACTGAAGAAAACTGCTAAAATACTTTGAAAACTCTGTTCTGGACAGTAATATACTGAAGGGGAAAGCTAAACGTCTCACCACTATTAGACTATCCCACATTCCTCTCTGGCCTACCCACCTGGACCAAGAATCACCTTCCAAAGGTAACTCAAAGATTGAAAGCTGAAACTAGGAAATCTAAGCTCCATTTCCACTTTTACCAAGCCAGCCAGGTGAATGTGCACCCCTCTAACCTCAACTTTCTTTCCCACAGAATAAGAGCAAGAAGGGCCCGGTGTGGTGGCTCACACCTGTAATCCTAGCACTTGGGAGGCCCAGGAGGGTGGACTGCCTGAGCTCAGGAGTTCAAGGCCAGCCTGAGCCAGAGCAAGACCTCATCTCTAAAAATAGCCAGGTGTTGTGGCAGGTGCCTGTAGTCCTAGCTACTTGGAGGCTGAGGCAAGAGAATCATTTGAGCCTAAGAGTTTGAGGTTGCTCCGAGCTATGACACCACGGCAAGGGCGACAAAGTGAGACTTTGTGTCAAAAAAAAAAAAGAGAGAATAAGAACAAGACAATCAGAAAGATCCCTTCTAGCTCTAATGCTTATGTGGTCAGAATCTCCATCTTTTATTTGCTGTTATGTCAATTACTAGGCTGGGCACAGTAGCTCACACTTATAGTCCCAGCACTTTAGGAGGCCGAGAAAGGAGGATGGCTTGACAGCAGTTCAAAACCAACCTGGTTAACCTAGCAAGATCCTGTCTCTATAAAAATACATTTTTATCACTTAAGCCTAACAGTCTGACATTGTTGTGAACTGTGATGCCATGGCACTCTACTGAGGGTGACATAGTGAGACTCTGTCTCTAAAAAAAAAAAAATTCAAGAAAAATTTCAAAGTTCATTTCTAAAGCAGTGATTAATATATATGAACACTGCAAAGAGAAGTAATCACATAACTTTGAGATTTGTCGTAGTAGTTCTAAGACATCTCCAAAGAAAGTAGTCTAGAGATAAGTGAAAAAATGGTATCCACATAATCCTGAACACAATATAATCGGTAATACCGTTTTCCTGCAGGGGTGTCCAACCTTTTGGCTTCTCTGAACCACATTAGAATTATCTTGGGCCACACATTAAATATAAACACTAAAGAAAGCTGATGATGTGGATGACTTTGTTCTTTGCTTCTTATGTTTTTCAGTTTCCTACACTGCACATATTAACTCTAAAAAAATAAAGATTGTAAAAAAAAAAAAAAGCTGATGAGCATAAAGGTCTATGCATAATTTTCATGATATCTGCTGAAACCACAGATAAGCAAAAAAGTCCTGTTTATAACCCAAATGTTAGACACCCCTGCAATAGCTTTTATATTGAATTTTACTCAAGGTTTGATTAGAGAAAATATTTCAGCACTAGATCTGAAAACCATTCTACAAGAAATTATAACAGCCTATGCTCTTAAAGAAATTCTAGGGCAAGAATAACCCCCCCCCCCAAGAAATACTTTGTAAACTAAGAGTCAAAAGGCACAAAGAAGTAATTCAGTCACATGTATTTAAATTTTCCTTTTTCGTTCCAATATGTTAGGCAAGAGTGTTTAGTGTATCCCAAAGAAATGAATTAAAGTTTGATTTTAAGTCTAGAGGGCCAGCAGACTAGTTGGATCTTGATGGGTATGATACAGGACAAGTGGCACCCCAGCCAGCTCAGTGGAGCTGGAGTGGGGGGACAGACCGGCTGCCGCTGCCTGAGCTGAGGAACCAGCAGGCTGAAGGGCAGGCTGAGGGGCCCTGCAGGAGGCTCCAGTACCCAGAGGGGCCAGACAACTGCTGGGGAGACACCAGCACCTTAGCTTTCCCTCCCTTTGTACTTATTGCTGAACAGGGAACCCCCATTTCCTAGGCCTGGGAATGAAAGGGATTGTAGCCCTTCATTCAGGACCAGACACTTCCCAGACATGTTCCAGGCACAAATGTAACTACAGAGGGTCCCAGACAGCTAAATATAACTACCAAGCCCTCCTAAATGTAACTACAGGGGTGGCGCCTGTGGCTCAAAGGAGTAGGGCACCAGCCCCATATGCCAGAGGTGGTGGGTTTAAACCCAGCCCTGGCCAAAAAAAAAATGGTAACTACAGATAGCCCCATGTAGTATATATACTCCTAGACAAAAAGCCCCAGGAGAGAGATAGACAAGGGAGAGAGAACTTTTCTCTCCCAAGTTGGGTTTTCTCTCTCTGCCAGGAGCTCTGGCGTTTCTGTATTCTTTTCTGTAAATAAATCCTGAATTATCACTGATCTGTGGTCCGCAGGTTCATTCTTCAAATCACCAAGACCAAGAACCTACTGAAGAGTGAAATTCCGGTACCAGATACATATCATCTCAAAAGAAATGTTCATAAAAAGATACAATCCTCCAGATATATCTTTACTGTCAACATCAACTCAGTCATCAACCTTTAGCTACAGAACCTTTACTAACACTCTACCAAGAGTGTTCAACCTTTTTTCTTTCCTGCTACTACACGTTGGAAGAATGTGAGTGGTTTGGATAAAAGCCGTCTCAGGCCACACATTAAATTCACAAACACTAACAAAAAAGATCATGCATACTTTTCACATATCTGACATGAGAGACAACCAAAATGGGCCTTGATAATCTGCATGTGGCCCACGGGCCACAGGTTGGACACCCTTGCATACTTCTAAGCTTCCATACAAACTATGCAGCTCTCTACCTTAGGAGCATCCAATTTTCCTTCATGTTATAATTCTCCTCGAGCTTCAGTGTACACCTAGATAACCTTAACCCTCTGATAACCATCTCCATTTAGGACAGTCCCTCTTAAAATTTCTACTTTTAGAATATTTCCTACTGTTTCCACATAAGTCCTCTGCCAAATTCATATACCTATAAATTCTACTTCATAAGCCCACAGTGTTCTCTTAAAAGAAAAATATATATCAATATAACCTTAAAATAAGACACAAAGCTCCATGAAAATATAGTTGTCAAATTTATTTTCATTAGGCTACCATTTTTCATGAAGTATTCCTAAGACTAATGTTTCTTGACATGCAAGAGTTAGCATTAATAGCTTAAGTTACTATAAATACTGCTGCTTGGAAGCAGTACAACTGTTTTAGAGTTTTAAGACTACAGTTTTATTACTCAAGGCTTATTCAGTGTATGTAAAAATCAGAAGGTTCTGAACAGCTGGTTAGGAAGGTAGCCAAGATGTAGGAAAGATGTCTGTGCTTCCTTTTCAAGGGCAGCCAACTCCTGAACGGTAGGTGCCAAAATATCCACATGGCCTTTATAATTTCCACCTGCATCACACACACAAATTACAAAGTAATGTAAATGACATGCTTGAAATAACTTGTCGGCAATACTTTGGCTCGATTATATCACTTTAAACATTGCTTCCAGCAATAAAAAAATACTACTAGGCAAGTTATCTCTAGAACTTTTGACTTTGAAAAATGTTACATTGATTATTTCAATATAAATAAACGATTAAGCCTCACCAAAAGCTGTCCCAGTACTCCTACCCACCTCCAAGCCTGGTTGGGAAACCACAATTTTAGCCTGAAACTTAAAAGTGTTCGGGAACAAGCTAACAAAGGGCATCCCAGGCAAAGGGAAGAATATGCCCAATTACCACCTGGATTAGCCAAAGGCTCTGATTCCTTGTCCAAAATCATCCAGTGTACTTGTTCCCTAGTAGCTCCAAAAATGTTCAAATATTCTGATGACATTAATAATCCTTTAACAAAAATATGTAGGCTGCTGTCCTTCACTCACACAAAGACCATACAGTGAAGTAGTATAAGGCAGGTATGGATAAAATGCTCACAAGAGTAATAAGAAAGGAATGGTTGCTATGTTAATATAGTCAACATAATAAAATGCTATCTTAAAGTGAAGTTTAAAAAAGGCACATTCACATTTAAAATAACTAAAAAAAAAAAAAAATAACTAAAAGCTTACCACCAGCAGCCCTTTTTTGACCATAGGTAACTTTTCCATCAAATTCATCCACTGGTACCTTTATATCTGGCTCAACCTGAGAAATGGTACAGTTCAGGTGTTCTTCTATCTCAGATAGCAACTAAGAAAAGAGAAAATTTCTAAATAAAAATCTCAATTTGGGGGAGGAAAAAATTCATTTTGATAGAACTGCACTTTAGTAGCATTAAATAACACGGGAAGGCTTGAATGCTCAGCATAAACAGAAGTTAGATTTCTGAAGAGATGAACTCACAACTTAAGATCAACAAACTGCAGATAACATTAGAAACAATCACTCACTACTTTTCCTCGTAATTCACAAATAAATAAAAGCCAAGAAACTTTCCTAGACAAATGTAGTCTATTTTACCAATTCAATAAGCTTTTCATGAGCCTTAACCAAGTCTTACCTGCATCTCATTGTACCATATGGTACAGCCTCCATCTTCCTTGAGTCTTGTGTTATAACATCCCTTTCCACGACTGCTACATACATGGTACCAAACCTAAATTAAAGAAGAAAAAAATATTAACATGCATGGGGATACAGGCATGTAAAAGAGTCTAAATTTGTTTATTAATATCTTGTGTCACTAGAAAAATGGATTACAGGTATGTCATCCAGTTACTACCATTCAGTAGCTCATTAAATATGCCTTCACAAGAGTTCAAGAATCTAAAAGCTTTTCTAAGGATTTCAGTTATAGAAAGGAATTCTCACCTTGTTAAAACAGGGGTGAAAAAGTGAATAATGAAGCATAGTATGTCAAGATTAATATCAAAAATGAAGGCTCGGCGCCTATAGCTCAACCGGCTAAGGCGCCAGCCACGTACACCTAAGGTGGCGGGTTCGAATCCCCAGCCCGGACCCGCCAAACAACAATGACGGCTGCAACCAAAAAATAGCCGGGCGTTGTGGCGGGCGCCTGTGGTCCCAGCTACTTGGGAGGCGGAGGCAGGAGACTCGCTTGAGCCCAGGAGTTGGAGGTTGCTGTGAGCTGTAATGCCACGGCACTCTGCCCAGGGGGACAGCTTGAGGCTCTGTCTCAAAAAAAAAAAAAAAAAAAAATGAAGCTCCAAAGAAAAAAACGCTCCAGTGTTTTATAGAAGAAAGTAATAAAGCAAATAGGGCAAAATGTACAACAAATAAATCAGGGCAGTGAGTATATGAAAGTTCCTTTTAATACAACTTCTCCATAAGTCCGTAATTATATCAAAATAAGTTATATTCCCCCTCATAGGAAAAAAAATCTTCCATGGCATCATGCCAGAGAGAGTTTAAGTATCTTTTGGTGAAAATAACATTAAGACTATTAGGGAAAATTTTGCATTTTTCCTTTCTAAATTTCACCTTATTATTTGTCCATTCAATGAATAGAATTCAATCTATTGAATCTATTCATTCAATCTAGAATTCAATATTCAATGAAAGATGCCATAAAAAGTTTATTTATATTCCATATGCAACTGAATCCCACTTAACTGGAAACATCAAACTGCTTTTATTTTCAGCATCTAAAATCACAATGTACACACTGAATATACTAAAACACTGAAAAGATTTTACCTTTTCTTTCTCTGATGCCACCAGGGAAATGGCCAGACCCATTCTGAAAGATTTTAAGTCTTTATTAGACTTTATTCCTGAAGTATATGAAGTTTTTTATGAGAAAACAAAAATTACAACAGTACCTTTCGGCTCTTCCTACTCTGCCAATTCGATGTACATAGTTTTGCTTTTCATCAGGTAGAGTGACATTTATAACTACAAATAAAAACAAATATCAATTGTCATGAGCTTGAGCTTCTAAATTTTTCAAATGTATCAGAAAACTTTACTTCAGATTCCATAAAATTCAAACCACAGGCATAAAGTTTCTTTTTACCATAAGGAACTCCATGAATATCAATTCCTCTAGCAGCTACATCTGTGCAAATCAAGAATCTTACATCTCCTTTCTAAGGAAAACAGAGAAAGAAATTTGTTAGCACATCTACTAAAAAATAAAAATAAATTCTATCTTTCCACTAAATGAAACTTCTAAAAACTAAAGTGCTATCAGATCAGAGGTCCAGAAACTATTAATTTTCTGGTCCACGTCTACTGAGACATAAAATTTAAGGTGAAAATAAATCAACGATTGAATTCATTCTTGCTTTTCTTTTTCCTAAATCAAAGATACTAAACTACTGCTAAAATTTGGTTTAATCTTTAGAAATATCTTTAAAAATTCAAGAGATAGAACAAAATACAAAAACATACGTATCATCTTTCTTCTTATAGTCAAATAAGCCCAGAGCACTAGCTTTTTACCCTGAGGCTATACTCTTTGCAAAAGATAAAATCCAACAGGGAATCTCTAGGGGTAGCCCTGTTGCTCACCAAAGAAACACAAATTAGCCTTGGAATGTCACTTGTGTCTCTAGGCACAGCAAAATTAGAAATCTGGAAGAGAGAAGAAGGGCAGCCTGACTTTTGGTTCACTATAATGCATTGAATAGAGAAAGGCGCAAAAATGATGAAATAAATCCATGCCACATGCTTTAACATTCACATCAATTACACTGCATGGAAACATAATTCAAAGTTCCTGAGCCCAATACTTCCCATCTTTTTTTTTACTATTTGCACTATATACTGGGATAAACAGGCTGTGGTAAGCAGAGGGGCCTGCTGGTGGGTAAAGAACATTGACTTTCAGTTCTTTTTATTTATTTATTTTTTTGCAATTTTTGGCGAGGGCCAGGTTTGAACCTGCCATCTCTGGTATATGGGGTCAGGGCCCTACTACTTTGAGGCACAAGTGCTGCCCTGACTTTCAGTTCTAATTGGCTTAAGCCCCACTCACCTAAACCACAAGCTACACAGATGGATCCTAAGCTGCAAGCACACCAATGGGAAGGTCTGCCCAAATGATACCAAACAGATGTAATTCTACAAAATCCTATTTTAGTACAATTAAGTTTTCTGTAAGTATTACTATGAATTTTTTTTTTAAATTCACAGACATGGCTTAACAATCCAATGGTATTTCTGAAAAAAAAAAAAAATCCACCTAAAAGAATTTAACTAAAACATGTCTTCAACTGAAAATTCTCATTAAGGTAGTATTGCACTAACAGAGGACATGTTATTTACCATTTGAGTGTCAAAGATGACTATTTCTTACCATGATGAAGATACAACAGGACAGAAATATTTTAGGATTTCTAGGACAAGAACTGTTAATATTAACTAAAACTAGATACAAATTCCTTAAGTATTAAGGAAATGAAGCCAACTAAATACAAGTACCTTAAATCTTTCCAAGTTTTGCTTTCTCTCATGAGGCTTTCTGTCACCATGAAGACAAACACATGAGAACTGATGCCCTTTTTTATCAGGTCCTAGTGAAAATGAAAAGTACATTTAACCTTGAAAAACATAATGCCTAAAACGGTATCAAATAGTCACTAAAATTCATATGCAATAGCACCACACAATTCTATAAAAATGTATACACTAATTTGCCACAAACTATGGCTAACACAACTTCTGGAACAGGTAAAAGGTCATTAAAATGAACTCGATGGACCATTAAAATTGATTTGCTTTTAATAAGGACATTTTAAGTCACCCTTTACAATCAGCAGGAATAGATAAAGCAGTATGCCAACTAAAATGCACTATGTATGCACCAGGAACCTCACTATCCTGCCCTTTTTGCTACTCAAAAAGAAGGTAAAAGATATTCTCGGAAGAACCAAAATAAGCATCATGAAGTTTAGCTATCTCTAAAATGCTGTGCCCACAGGCCTGCTTTCCTCAACATGTTCTAAACAATTTAGTTTCTGGTTTCTTGTCCACAGCCAAGTAAGGGCAGTAAATTAGGATAATAAGTACTATTTTAGAGTCAGGTGCAGTGGTAGCCAACCCTACAAAGAAAATACTCCAAGTACACACAGCAAAAAAAAAAAAGTACAGGATAAGGACATGAGGACAAAGAGCGTTCTAGCCTTCTGGAAGTCAATAGAACTTGTGGCAACCACTATAGCCCAAAATAACTGTGCCACTTAACTATTCTCCATGGTAAAGTAGGTTCCATAAAGTATACTTGAAAATTCAAAGAAACAATATATTTTAATAGACAGCCATTCAAAGTGACTAATGCAAAGATCATGCAGACATGAGGCAACAGCAAGCCAGAACCCCCAGAAGCATACAATAGAGGTTTGACTGCATTTTGAATTCCAATAATTTAGGGAGGTATCATATATCCATTCCTACTTTCTGTCTGGGGAATGAGCGGGGGAGGGGGTCCTTTAATCCCTTCTCTTAAACCCCTATAATCTGTTATACATGGTGTTTTGATGTTAGTAATGATTTGATAAATTTGTTTCCTAGGCAGAGGTTACCAGCATATTTAGGAAAGGAGGTACTGCCATTACTACTTGATTAGTAATACTCTTAACAATTAGGAGCGTAATCAATGTCTTTATATACAAATGACCGTTCGTTCAAACATTTAAACTCTTGTTTGAATCTATATCCTTTTGTTTTCCACCTCCTTGATGCACATCAATTATATAGAAAGATGTTAGTCTTCCCCCACTACTATAATGGAATTTTTCTGTAATCTTGTATATCTGTTGATTTTTAAATTTTTCAACATTTATATTTTCAAACATACTACAAAACGAAGAGAATTCTAACAGTGAATAGCTGTTAGATTAACCATCACCATCTAGATTAACTATATATCTATCTATCAACTTACTCTTATATTTTGATACATTTCAACGTAAATTGTAGATAATCAGTATACTATAGTTAACTAGGGTTCAGTATTTGCCTTTTTTCTTGAGGTAAAAATTCCATACAAGAAAACATATGAATCCTAATTATATATTTGCTTAGCTTTGACAAAGTCCCATCAAGACACAGAATATCTGGCTCGGCGCCTATAGCTCAAGCGGCTAAGGCGCCAGCCACATACACCTAAGGTGGCGGGTTCAAATCCAGCCCGGACCTGCCAAACAACAATAATGGCTGCAACCAAAAAATAGCCGGGCATTGTGGCGGGCGCCTGTGGTCCCAGCTACTTGGGAGG